CAGCTGAGGAAATAAAAATATTGGTAACATTGAAAGAGAATCAATCTGTCAAGAAATTGAGAAGTACTTATATGCTTAGACAATGGAGGTGAGTTTGTGAGAGAAGATCTCCAGGTTTGGTTAAATGAAAGGAAAATAAAATATGATTTGTTTCCAGCCAAGATAACGCAGAGCATTGGTGTTGCTGAGAGGAAGGCCATTCTACCATAACTTAATCTAAGAGAAACGAATATCAAGAATTATTAAGGAAACTCATGTATTTGAAAACTTATGGCTGTTCAGACATCTCATTTGCAGTAAGATGTTTGTCATAGTTGAATCATGGTCCAAAAATAATGGACATGAATGGATTGAAGGGGATATTTAGGAATAGATATTTCAAGTTCAGTATTGTCTTGAATTTGGAAAAGGAACAGAAGCCAATGGAATGTGCTGTGCAGATATGTAGACAGATATGTGAAGTCAGACTGAAAAAAGAAGAAGGATTGTGATGTGGACAGATTGAATGCGATAAATGTAGAAAATTAAATCTATGCTCTTACACAGAAAAATGTAGTTATATACGAGATGTAGTAAAAATTAAGAACTTGCAAATTTGGTACGTGTCAGATAAAGAAATGAATGCTGATTGTCTAACTAAACCACTGAATGTTCCAAATTTGTTAAAGAATGTAAAATACTTTATGGGGGTGTTAAGAGAATAAAAAGAAGAGAGGAGAATGTGTCATAGTTATTTATATTGTTTTATTGTTTTATTTCTCCTACCCAACATGGCATAGATTAGGTAAACTCTTATTAAAAGCACTATTTAATCAACCTCAGTTTTAATAATAACATTTCACGTTTGTCTTAAATATATTTGAAACTTGAACGTAAAACCATCTTATTCGCAATGGGAAAAATATTTGTAGCTTTATTATAACCGAGTGATTGGTACTTTCTTTGGACAGGTCTGACTAAATACTTTCGTTGAAAAAGTAGTTTTAACAATTTATACATAAGAATCTAATGTTCTGAAGAAGCATTGTTGACAAAGGTGATTATAATGTTCATTTATAAAATTTTGTAACTAATATATATATATATTTTGTATTACCATGTATTTTATTTTTATTATTAACTATAGTTATTTTTATTAATTTATAGCGTTTTTGCAGTGAAAATTAAGCATTTATTTATATGTCATTTTCGTAAGAGGAACATATTTGTATTTGCTTCATTGATATGAATAAATATAAGGAACGTTGTTTGATATTCCACATCGATACTATAGTACATAGCTATTTCAAAGACGCAGCATTTTCCTGCGAGAAAAAGCATAGATTGTCTTAGGTCAGTCATCATTAGGTCCGCGACAAACGAACAGAACGGTAACGAATACTGGAATATTTTCGTGCGTCAAAGAGAAGCATTAAGGATTTCCATAAAACATATCGTAAAGTAGTGATATCACTGATTGAAGTTTTAATTGCTACAACTGAGGAAACACATATTTAAGATCTGTAACGCGACGTATCGGGTATTACTTCGCGACATTGCAGTTGTTGGTTACGTTTGCAACATTATCGTAATACTTACGAATAAAACAGCAAAAGTTTAAGAAATTGTGAAAAATTTACGAAGTTCAAGATTACTAACTGCGAACATTTCTTTGGTGCTAATATACTACGTGTGGAAAAATGTGATGTGACATAGTAAAAATCGCATAACGATACATATGCAAAATAGAGTAATGTGAGTGAGGATCGTGTAATACTCCGCATAGTCCCCAATCGTCGACTGTTGTAAATTCTAGATTTCAATTGTCCAGCAATATATTTGAATGTTATTACTCTGAATAGGCAACTTGTTAACAGTTTTACCAATTTTTCCTCCATCTCGACGTTGAATTGCAAAGTAGCTACGTATTATCGCAAATACATTCTAAACTTCGTTTGTGGATTAGGATATTTCATTATTACTGCATAGAATAGATTGCTTTCCAACCAGTAGGGCAATTATTTTACGATTGAAGGTCTATTTACGAAACAAAGTGACGGAAATGTAAGTGCCTGTGAAATCTTGCTACACCGTTTACTTTCCTAGCTTATATTTTTAAAATTACTCATTACGGTTAGATTTTTTCTATATATTAGCGTAGAGTGAATTCTTCCTTAACGGGATTGATTATTTTTTTTCGGTTTCGAGCGCGCGTTTTTGAAAAATAGTGGGGAAAGTGTCCGTAGCTCTGAAATCGTGCTGCGTAATAGACTTTTTTGGCTTCTATTTCGAAAAGTAGGCTGTTTGATTAGATTTGTTCTATATATCCGCGTAGTGTGAGTCTTTCTGTAACGGGATTAATTATTTTTTTTCGGTTTCGAGCATGCGTTCTTGAAAAATAGTGGGGAAAGTGTGAGTGGCTCTGAAATCGTGCTGCGTAATAGACTTTTTTGGCTTCTATTTCGAAAAGTAGGCTTTTTGATTAGGTTTGTTCTATATATCCGCGTAG